AGAATTAAATGAAATGATAAATGGGAAATATGTGATACTAATGTGAAGAACTTATTTTACTGATACTGATACAACTTGGGGGAAAATCAAAATATCTTATTTCTTAGTTCCAAGACAGAATCACTACATTGTAAGATCACTTTATTGATTTAACAAACTTTTTTTGGGAAAAAGACATGTTACTATGTTTAAATACATAACACACTTATAAGACTTTCTTTCAGAAGTATTAAAAGGAAAAATAAATTATGCCTTCAACTTAAATGTTGTTTCATATAACTTGCCTATGTCTTTAAAAACCTCAAGAAAATTTTTAGAACTGATGATCAAGTACTAACCTTTCAAGTCTCCTGATTTGCTCCATCAATGACCATTTCTCACTATTTAATAAACTAATTTTATCTTCTAATTTCTGTACTAGCAAGGAGTTCTAAAATTGAAAGAGGAGAAAAACGACATTCAAGCTCTCACAGTATGCTTTGACATAGTTTAAATACTTTTTGTGGACTTAAATCTTTAATGGCTATACCGCACCTCTACAGGCTGACAAGTTTCAAGGGTTGGGGGAAGGGTGTCTAAAATTGGTGTAAGAGCCTCTAATTCATCCTCTTCTACTCCACTGGCCACATCCACAAGATCTTTCCCAGTCACTTGATGATTTCCAAAATCTCGGTAGAGTTGTAATAAGTCTGGAGGTTTTGGAATGTTTAATCCTACATCATCCCATAATTCGAAATCCTAAAAGACAGAAAAAAAAATTTAAAAATTAACATCTCTCAATTTTATTTTGCATTTTTGAAATTCATATTATTATTGCTAATACCTTGAAAACCCAACATAATCATAATTTTGTTGTAATATCCAAGTGTATGTAAACATTGTTCTTAAACTTATTTTACATCTTTCACTGTCCAATATTATTCTTCGAAGTTACTTGACATTCTAGATAAACAGAGTTAACTATGTTAGATGTCAAGATGTTACACACAGTCTTTTTATTAAATCTCTCAAAAAATGTAAACTCAACTTTAAGGCTTGTGTTAACTTTCAAGCTTTTAAAACACAGATATTTTCATGAAGTCATAAAAAATGTCTAGATTAAGAAAGTCTTAGTTCGGGCCGGCCCGTGGCTCACTTGGGAGAGTGCAGTGCTAACACCAAGGCCATGGGTTCGGATCCGATATAGGGATGGCTGGTTGGCTCACTGGCTGAGCGTGGTGCTGACAACACCAAGCCAAGGGTTGAGATCCCCTTACCGGTCTTTTTTTTTTAAAAAAGAAAGTCTTAGTTCATAAATTGCACCTATCATTTATAGGTCATAAGTAAACTCATCAATGGCATTAATTTTGTTCTTCCTTCCTTTATTATTCCAACCTATATATAAAGTAATCTCTAATTTGTATCTTATAACTTATGTGGGTAAGCAAGCAATTTAATCTACTTGTCTTCTTGCTGTAGTTGTTTGAATCTAACTTGTATTATTAAAATGCTTCTGGCAATTTTCAGAATACAAATAGTTGCCCTTTGATTTGATGTGTATTAAAACATTATCTTTAATTCAATCTAATATCATTTTATTAAAAGTACAAAAAGGAATAGTATCTCAAGCATTCTATGAGCAAAGATTTTTAGAAGAGCTTTATGAAGTTCCAGAGTATTCAATTGCATGCAAACACACTGTCTTACCATTCTATCTTACTCCAATATATGAGAACTTAGTACTAATTTGTATCTTATAACTTATTTATTTATAATTTATTTATAAGATCCTCTTCGAGAAAC